TAACATGGTTCCTGGTTGATATATGAGTGTCATCGATTCCAGTTTATAGAAGTGTGGTAATAATTTCCTTTAGAAGGACCAACTCCTGATACCAAGGAATTGGATATTAAAGATTTCCTAAATGTCCAATTCTTCTAAGATGTTCTGCTGCATTTCCCCATTCCTCTCCTTGGGTATATCCCTTTGTGTTCACTTGATTCTGTGATCACTACACGTTCTCACAGAAACCCACCACACGTTGAGGAAATGACTCACGTGGTGATAGGTCCTATTCAGCCCCAGATCGGGATGGCAGGTGGAAGGGAGCCAAATGTAGGGTCCAGAAGCCCCAAATGCCCAAAAGTCACAGGAATATTCTTACTCCTATCAAAGCCCAGTCAGGAAACAGAGGTCTGACTCTCCAGGTGCAATGATGTATGTTATAAGTGTACATTGCTACCAGTTTATATACCCTATCCAAGCAAAACCAAAGGATGATGTCTTCTATTAAGGTAGAGTCTTAAAGGTTTGCCTGAGGAAACAAAGGGTATAGTTTAGTCCACAGTATCAATTAAAGTCAGGTCTTAATCCCACCCTAAACCTGTCCATTAGTACAGCAGAGACCTCTCTACAAAATGACATTATAACCACAGGCATAGAGTCCAGAACTATATCACACAAGGAATTGTGGTCATGTTAATTGACAACAATTCACTAACTAATTACTAAAGGGGTCAAGGACTTTCTCAAGCTGTCTCATGAGACATAAAGGATCAGGCATTGGAATGCACATTTGATTCTAAAATCTTGAGTCTTCTCATGCTGTTGTTTGGTGCTGTCAAGTCAGTGCTAAATAATAACCCATACACAACAGAATGCAACACAGCTTGGGCCGGTACCATCCTCCTAATGGTGCCTATGTTGGAGGCCGTTGTTGGAGCCACTGTGTTCATCCATCTAAGCCAGAGGTTCTCAACCTGTGGGTCTCTACCCCTTTGGGGGTCAGACGACCCTTTCACAGGGGTTGCCCAATTCATAACAGTCACAAAATTACAGTTGTGAAGTAGCAACAAAAATAATGTTCTTGTTGGGGGGTCACCACAACAGGAGGAACTGTATTCAAGGGCCGTGGCTTTCGGAAGGGTGAGAACCACTGACCTAACTTGCCAAAAGCAGCTTTCTTCTTTTTTCACTGTTCTACTGCAATGATTATTTTCACGGCTGTTGTGAAATCACGGTGAAAATAGCTCACTCTTTACTCCTTTCCTTTGGACCTTTAAGAGTTGAGACTGAGAGAAGTGTGCTAACTCCTCCTAGAATCTTGACTAATCCAAAGGCAACAAATTCCCAATGTGTTAGTTGGAAGTGACCCAGGAAGAAATGGATGGGAAAATTCATGGACCCCTGTTGGTCTTCTTCCATTACAAATGAGATCCATTTTAGAAGACACTATATGATAGTCATACAGGAATACTGTAAGGAATTAGAAAGAAATCTATTGTGAGCCATGGAATTTGTTACAAGGAAATTTCCTATCAACACAGTGTATCTGGAGAGGTTAAGGCAACCATTCCACCTATCTCAAAGACAGTATGAATCCACCGGCAGATGAGACACAGGTTGCCCACACATTGGATCATTTTGTTTCCTTTCAATGACTGCTACTAACACTATTGAATAGGAAAATTGTAAACTTTTCTCAACTTTCCTCAATTTTAAGAGCTTTCTTTCTATAAAACCAAATACTAACCCTAAGAAGCATGACCTAACTGTACACATCTGCCAGAAACTGCTCTCTCATCTCAAAAACAAGCTCGCTTTCTTCCAGTCAGTTCTGACTCCTGGGGGCCCCACAGCACAGAGTTCAGTTGCCCCTCTGGTTTCCCATGACTGTAAATCTTTAGGAGAGCAGAAGAACATCACTTTCATTCCAGAAGGCAGTGGTTGACTTCAAAAATGTGTTTCACCTGGCTAGAATGTGATAGTTATTAAACCATCACCTCCAATTTAAATCTCAAAAATTCTCTTGGCTGCAGGGTGAGTGCAAGGGCAACTTACTATCTGGTAGACTAGAGGGAACCTGATATCAGTTGAATCCACTTACAGAAGGCAGAAAGCAATCAATTATAAGATTAGTCAGGGGTTGATCTGGAGTTCTCCCTTCTCTGATCGTTAAAGAGAACTTCTTCGATTGACTTACTTTTATTGGAATCAAAATGTTCTCCCTACATACATATAGAACGAGTCCTCAAAATAAACTTTTGGTTCATATTTTGATAAATTTTGATGATTTTTAAGAATACAGAATGTTGTGGGAATACATTTTTTGTTTTGTATGCGTTTTATTATCCACTGACAAAGGTGAACAGCAAACAATGACACCAATAATCTTAACTTTTTGTAAAATTAACAACAATCCATATTTAAGCATTTCCTTTTGTTTGTTTTTTACAAAAAATATAAAAAACGGTATCTCGAAATACAAGTAAATTGGAAATTGTCATATAACTAACATTCAATCATTATTATCTTCAGACAAATAAATGTGTTTAATGGCTCAAACACTCATGGGACTGAGTGATAAAGACAATGCAAAATGCCATTTGAAGACCCACTAAAAGAAAATACTTGGCATAGGTAAAATGGTTACTTTAGGATTTGAGACTAGACCTCATTCTTGCTTTTGCTAAGTAAAAGTGTCTCGATAATCTTCTGAACTGACCTCGCTGCCTTGAAATAAACTGATCTGGCAGACCTCCTTGCAAAGCGCTGTATTGATTGGACCTTTCTTTAAAGGGTACCCTAGTAGGATTAAGACAAATACATTCCTAAAAGGGCAGATCTGCATAGGACACACACACACCCTCACTGATCGCAGAGGCATATTTAAATACATTTTGTGGATGTATACATGTATAAACCGGAACCCCAGTAGCAGTACTTTTTAGCCTATCCTCACTAAATTGCCATTCTTTTTTAGAACCAAAATATATCGTCTTGATATAATTATATATTGCATAGTTAAGGTTCAAGTATAGACAATTTTGCTGTCTGCTTTTCTGCTACTATTCTATTTTACTTCGTGATTATTATTGAATCGGGTTGTTCAAAGATCATTGACCTTGGACATCAGATTCCAGTGGCATATTACCTCTCGGGCAGGAAGAATTGAGGCTCTATGGGAATTCTAACTATGAAATCATATAGTTCTCAAAAAAACTCTACTCACTGCCATTAAGTCAATGCCGACTCATAGTGACCCGATAGGATGGGGTAGAATTGCCCCCATGGGTTTTCCAGACTGTAACTGTCTACAAGAGTAGAAAGCCTCATCTTTCTTCCGCAGTGTGGCTAGTGGTTTCGAACTGCTCACCTTACGGATTGCAGTCCAGCATGTAACCACTATGGCAACAAAGAGACTCATAGAGTCCTAATAGGAAATGTCAGAAAGTTACTTTTACAGCAAATGTGTAACCAAAAAAAGTAGGCATCTAATACGGATAGGATATTTAATGATAATCCTTTGCACCTTCCTTGGAAATGATAATGAAAAATATCCCAAAGCAGAAAAATTTCAAGTCAGATTTTTAAAATCCCCATGAGAATGAAAATATGTACCTATAGGGCATTGAAGAATAATCATTTTGAAGAGAGAACAACTGACTTAATATTGAAAAGTAATAAAAATCATAATGCATATAAAAGAAACTAGGAAATATTGTTTCTAATGCTATAGATGCTCTGTGAAAATAAATGGTCAAAATAACCACTAATTCTTGGTGTCCAAGATCAGAGCAGAACGTGTTCATTTGACTCATTCTATTCAATTCATAAACGAGGGCACTTACAGCTTAGTTCAAGTCGGAGGAAGCCTTTGACACCAAGATTCTCTAGGAAAAGTCCTGATGAAGCCGTGGTTTTAAAAAACAAGGAAATATCAGCACTGAATTCCGCGTGGAACGTTGGGAAATGGAGGTAAGAGGCTTCCGTGTAAAATGAGACTGCGTTCCAGAAATGTCCTGCAAATGAAAAGACCCTTAAGCATGGCTCATTCTTTTGGAATGGAATATTTAGAAAAGCTTCGGACGTGTGGATAATTTTAAGGCTCTGGAACACAGCAGGGAAAAAGATAAGGGAGCAAAAACATCTTGTGCTTATGTCATGCAGAGAAAACGCTTCTTTCAATTTAGTACTCACGGTCACCATAGCAACGCAGGGGCCCAATTCTCCAAGCTGCTTCTGAGTTTGATCTGTTGGTATCCGTGATGACTAGCTGAGTGACTGGCAAGTGGTCTTTGAAGGAAAGAAAGCCGGTATCATTTGTCCTGCAAAATATAAATAAAAGAGGGGGAAGGAGGAATTGGGGATAAACTGGGCACTCATTTGCCTCTTTTCTAACTGATTTAAATGGTGTGCTCTGGGCAGACTCGGGGAAGGGGCTAGCAGAAGGCCTTTCATCTCAAAAGACTGTGTGAAAGGCTGAATGTCAATTACAAACCCAAGGCCAGCTTGTCAGAATAAAAGGATTTTTGCATCTGCCTTAACTGTGTTTCTAGGAACAACAGTAGTTTACAGAGACTGCTGCAAGCTTGTTGCTAACTGCAGGGTCTCCTCTGCTCCATGTCGTTCCCTCTTTCTCATAAAGAGACTGGCCAGCTCAGTAGCTAAAGGTAAATATCACAAATTCATTCTGTGGAATTGTTTCAGGCACCTGCCACTATCAATTTGCATATTTGGATGTAGCTTAAAATTAGGTAAAAACCACTTTTTGTACTTCATGACTTGTTACATTCAGTTTTGCCGTTTAAAGACCCAGGGTAGTCAACAATTCTGGCTTTGTGCTTGTTAGTTTTGCAAATAGAGAATTGACTTTTGACCAAAGAATTAAATATGTCATTGTCTTTCCATCCTTTTAACCTGTGTCTTTGGAATTATGGCAAGCAGTATACATTTCTGCTTACCTCTTAGATCAACATTTAGAGGTAACATACAGTCATTGAATGAATTGAGCCAGAAATATAAAAGGGCTCAAAAATTTCCTGGAAAATGAAATTAAAATATAATGGATTTTCATTACCATGAAATTTTGAGGTTCACCTATATATTAAGGGGGTGTCTTTTATACCTTATTATTTTAAATATTATCATTATTTTCAAACTGCATTTTTCTATGAACTTCTTTTTAAAAATCACTTTATTGGGGGCTCTTACAGATATTATAACAATCCATAAATCAATTATATCAAGCAAACTTGTACATATGTTTCCATCGTCATTTTCAAAACATATCTTTCTACATGAACATTTATTATGATCTCCTCTTTTATCTGTCCCTTCCCCATCCACCCACCCTCATGAATTCTTGATAAATTATATATATTCTTATTTTTTCATATCTTACACTATCTGCTGTATCCATGTTTCACTCATGTTTCTGTTATTCGTCCCCCGGGAGGTGAGGGGACATTATACATCCAT